AGCTTTGGAAGTCGAATAATTTCTGCACATATACTGATGCCAAAACTATGGGAGTATATTAATGCCACACCCTATAAATATTTCCAACGGTGATAATACTTATAGCTACGTAGATATTACTTTCATCTACGTAGAATATTTATGTATGATGTTTAAACTATCACCCACTAGTGAATTATCCACTAACAATATAACAATGTAACAATATTTTCTCCAATTAATAATGACTCAATCAATAATCACGATTTGTGTTACTTTCTACCTTGACATGTCTATTGATATACACTCTCTCAAAAAAAGAAACGCAACCCCTATCTAAATATCTGACATCATTTCTAGAATAAAGATGGTGAATGTAAATTAGAATTTTCTTCAATACTGTTAATACGTTCCCATCTGATCAGTATAAGCTCCCAAACGGAACCATTTTCACACATGATGACCTTTGTATCCGTGTTATTTGAGAAAGTGCGAAATTGTCATGTACAAAATGCTAAAAGCCTGTTGCACGTGCAAATCGTTGAAAACACAGTTCATGTATAGGGTTTTAAAAGCACGCGTAGTTTGTAATTTTTCTCTCATAATTTGCTCTGCAAATCAAGTTCGAAAATGCCCCGTTTGAGTACAGCAAATCGAAATATTGCCATTGGTCGCATTGAGGCCGGGGAAAGCTTTGGAACAGTTGCCCGTCATCTAAACGTACACAAAACAACAATCTCACGACTTTGGAATCGTTACACACAGTTCCATGCAATTGAAGATCGTCCCAGGAGCGGTAGACCTAGGATCACCACACCGGCTCAGGATCGCTTTATTCGACTCAGCCACCTACGTAATCGGCATGCCACACCCACCATCACTGCAACACAGGTGCCAGGTTTGAGGAGAGTATCGGCCCAAACCATCAGGAACCGTTTACATGAGGCAAATTTACGTGCAAGAAGACCAGTTGTTGGGCCCGTCCTGAAACGCCAACATCGACGCCAACGTCTCAGGTGGTGTACTTACGTAAGGAGATGGACCCTAAGAAACTGGAGAAGAGTCTGGTTTAGTGACGAGTCTCGTTTTCTTCTTCAACGACGTGACGGTAGACAACGTGTCTATAGACGAGCAAATGAACGTTTTGCACCGAACTGCGTTCGACAGGTCGACAGATTTGGAGGAGGAAGCATCATGGTATGGGGAGCCATGTCTTACAACCAACGGTCAGACTTGGTCATCATTCGTGGCAATTTGACGGCACAACGGTACATTGATGACGTCTTACAGCCACATCTTCTGCCGATAATCAACCAACAGAGGGAGTTGTTTCAACATGACAATGCCCGCCCTCACACAGCTCGTGCAACAGTGGCATTCCTACAGAATTCAAACGTCAACGTGATGCCGTGGCCCTCCAGATCGCCAGACATCAATCCTATCGAACATCTGTGGGACCAGCTGGATCGTCGTGTTCGTGCACGTACACCACAACCGCACACGTTGGTTGAACTGGCCGCAGCACTCCAGGAAGAGTGCAGAGCAATCCCCCAGGAAAACATCCGCCGTCTGACTCGTTCTGTTCCGAGGAGGTGCACTGCTGTGATTAGAGCTCGTGGCTCTACAACGAGATACTGAAGACAACGCCCCCTAGCGTAAATTGAGAGTTCGATACTGACCTGCATTAACTGTTACCTTATACCGTGCTGACATAAGGTTCACCAGGTCAAATTTCATGGCATTATCTTTAAAAATACAAATGTAATAACCAGTTAAAATTGATATAAACATTACCAAAAAAAACAGGGGTTGCGTTTCTTTTTTGAGAGAGTGTACTATCTAAATATTAGATAAAGCAATGAATCACACTCACCACATTCCCTTAGAGCCGTAATAAAGAGCGGAGAGTACAAAATCTTCAAACTACACTCAACTATACGTTATTATTACAATATATATATATATATATATATATATCACACATAACCTGATTTAAGTTCCAGAAAATTACTGGAATATATTGACTCTTGTACTTTTTCTACTCCGGAAATTAGTTTTTTGAGGTAAATCGTCAATACGAAGGAGTGGGAATCCCTCAAACTTAATGAAATGTACGAAACCAATTCTATAAAGCACTGAGGGTACAATTCTATAGTTTTATATTTGCGCTGACTGTTTGAAAATTTGAATTAACCTCTGTACGTTGTAAATAATTGAAAAGGCAAAATGGGCAGAAATGACCAACATGCTTCCAAACATTTAATTGAATTAACAGTAAGTTAGTAGTCACCTTTATTTAAAATATAAATGTTTGTATAAATTAGTATCCAACTAGGGGGGCAACTTCGCAAGACAATATTACTGTCTGAGTAATGATGATACGTTTGATCCTTATATCATATAGTACCCTCTTCGTACATGTGCATCTAGTACGTAGATGAAAATGTTTACACTGTGTCTCTCATACGCTTCCACACCTATTTCTGATTTCAGAGAAAACATTAAATAGGTAAATATGCAATATCAAAATTTATGAGCATGGTCAAAACAAGACAAATACTGTAATATATTGAAAAACATATGAGTTGAATCCTACTACTAAGTGTGTACTGTATTGGTGAGAATAGCAAGTGATCCACTGTTTACCCACAGACAAACAGGCCACGATATAGTCTTTTGTAACCAAACAAATATACACAAATAACACAAGAATAGATTCACACACTCTTCAAAGTTACAAACTGTGATGAAATACATCCATACAATAGCCATCACATACAAGCTTCTTTAACTAAAATACGTACAGTAAATGTATCCTTGAAAAGATTGTCTTTTCTTTAAAGAAAGCATAACAGAGACGCGCAGTAAACTGTAAGACTGTGGAAAATGTTTCAAGTGTAAAACGATGGCAATAAATCTGACAAACCCGCAGGTGGTACTGCTATACGAGGGGCGTTCAAAAAGACGTCCGGTTCACCTAGAACATTATACAAATGCAGCTGTTTTTATGCTGTTTTTATTTTTTCTACATATCCTCTGTCAACCTCAAGCAAATTGCTTTTGCCATGATCCCGACACACGATCCCCGTTTCGTTTGACTTTTATCTTGGTATCCCCCAAAAACCAAAACGCAAAATCTGAAATACATGCATCACAAACTACAGGAAATAAAATATAAAAGAAATATTTTGTGTGTTTGATATAGGCAGAAGTCCTTTACAATCAAACGTAGATATTAAAGTGAATAAAAATGCAATTCCAAACTACAATCGCTTGTTAAAGTGACTTCCCCCTTCATGTTTACTGAAAGAGCTTGTTTTGGAGACACTACCCAACCCCTTTCAGATAACGTAATCATAAGGACATAACATATTCTAATGTTTTCACTTATTTATGCATGATGCGAAGGGTTCAAACTAAATACTGAATGGTCACACAAGTGTCAGCACCATATATATTGTAAACAGTGCGAGCTTCAACTTCTGCACACAACATTTTTGAAATCTAGAATTTAAATGGGCGTGTCCTTTAAAAACAACACCGTCTATAATTAAGCTATTCAAATCTTTTAATGTTGATTATGACGGGAAGCCATCCAATACTATACTGAACATATCTGATATGATGTTATCTGAGGGCATACCATTATCCAAGAGGTACAAAATGACAGATCGTTTTTCATTTTCTGCTATTTTTGGGGAATATTATACCCCAATGTGTTGTGATTACTAATATCTCGTTAACGACATTACCCACGTATGTGCATTTTTGGATAGTGCTTTGCTTATGATTCCTTTAAAGGTCACATGCAACGCAAAACACAACTTTGCAGATTCTGAACAGCTTTCGGTATGGGCGTGCAGTAACAAATTATCAAATTGCAATTTCAACTTATAAAGTTGAAACATAACGTGATGAAAAAAAACCCCGCGAAATCGTAGTTCAAACGATTCACTTATTTCACCCAAGGCGCTGGGGTGAGAGTGGTTTCAACAGCTGTGCTGCGCTGCGCCTATAGCGCATGCACAGTGATTAGGTTCGCGCGGCTTGAACCGGGAAGGCGATTCGTAAAAACACAGCAAGTGATGCGTGCAAGGATTATCGCTGTGGTCGAAGTTGGAGAACAAAGGATGTTTCTTGTGATTACAAGCATCTTTGGTGTGCAGTATTAAAAATACACTGGTCCCACACTTTTTCTTATATGTTTTCACGTCTTGCTTTTTGGGGGTTGGCAGATTTGCAAACCAGGTTTTCAAGAAAGTGTAGCATTAGAAATACTAATTTCATTGTTAAAAATTGCTCACCTTGAAAAATCAAATGTTTTAATACATGTTTATAGAAACATAGAAAAAATATGTTGATTGTGATAAGCAGTCTCTGTCACAGAAAAAACTCAATGTCTGTTTTATTGACACCTATGTGTCTGTCTGCCTGTCTGCTACTCACAATATGCAATACACAACTTCAATCATTGACCACATGCAATTTGAACTTAACACCTATCATGCTTTACACCATAAACAAAATACATTGATTTATGGCTCGTTCTGTCACATTACATAATTACACAGACAGGCAGGTGTGATACTTGTACACATGACATGTTATTATGTCTGTGGATTGCAAACAAACTGCATCTATTTTTCTCGGATGATTGGATCGGGCGGAAACCGATGCAAACTCAGATTGTCAGTTTCAAGTCCTGCTTTGTACCTCGACGAACGACAGTTTCCAGCCACGCAGTAGTTCACCATCTCAGTACTTGTTTATTGGATCGAACGCAAATGCAGAAAGCATGTATTTACAAAACCCAACATCTCAATACACATTCTTTATGGATAACAACTTCTTTTATTGTAAATGATGCAACGTTTCGGTATGTCACTCTTGCTTGACAACGGTATAAGAATCCATACCGAAACGTCGCATCATATACAATAAAAGTTGTTATCCATAACAAAATCTTACTTTCTTATTACTCACCATACTTCTAAAATGTCAATCACACAGATCATCTCTAAATACACACTCACAATGAGCCCTCAGAGTATCGGCAAATGAACCAGCCAATGAGAGACTTCGTTACACTTGAGTACACCCACCCGCTCTGACTGGGTTCGGTCTCCCGGGTACTTCGTTTCGAGGGAAGCAAACCCAAGTACAAAATATTGCACTTTTGATTTGCGATTGGGCACTTATTATTTGGTTTATTTGGTTTTTTTGACAATCAGCAGTGTATATTATATGTCATCGATAAGTAATAATTGCGTTTATATTATGTTTGTTTTTTTTTGGGTTGCACGTGACCTTTAAAATAAAATAGAAGCTTTACGAACATTTGACATCGATAATATAGTTAGGCTGACAACTTTCGGAACGCCCCTCGTATACCGACATACGTATCACACATCAAATTTATAGTTAAGCAATAAAGAAGCCGCCGCTGTGATTTATAGCATACGTCATTTTGTCTTCAAACATGCCGGCGTCAAATCTCCGCATCAACTCCAAAACCAAGCCACAAGTATGGGCAACTGGTAGTGGAGCTGGCGTTCTTTTCGGGACGAAAGTGATTGATATATTGTTATCAAAACCAAGAGGTGGGACACGCTCAGACCCCGTCCAAAACCTCAGTATGTCAGCGACTGTGACTGTGCTGTCTCCACCTGCAACATGATACAAACACAAATTTGCTCTATTATTTGAAAACAAATTAATTAGAATGCTTTGTGAGAAAATAACGGTAGCTGCTTTGTGAATTTATTTAAACATTGTCTGTTGGGTTTAAATGTTCAGATCTTAAACATATATTTTCAACTATATATTACTAAAAACATATTTTTATTCATTTCCAATCAGTGTTAATAAAGATTAGTCAAAATACAGATTTCTTTGGCTAGTGAGGAAACGTTTCACTGCAAAGGCGGGTATATCATTTTAAGATTGTAATCAATATCAAGGTGGGCATCAAATTAATTTATTATCTTTGTAGTTACTTACTGAACTGATATTATATAATTAGTTAAATTGTAAGAAGAGCGTCTTTGATAAAATCAAATAAAACTCGCCGGTAAAAGTACATTACGGCATCCATCAGCGTCGGGGATTTGTTACTTCAGTTGATATATTCAACAATAAAGGTGAGGTTCTGAATGCATCTATAAAACAACAGATTCCTTACCAGTTCTTTAATCTATGGCAGACACATAGGTAATCTGTGCATGTGCACACTGATATGGGGATAATGAAGAATTGTGAACGTTTGTCATGGTAACGAGTACAGGAAAAGCATTTCCCATTTACACATTTCTAAATCATCACCTCTTTCGCAACACTTTTAAATAGACACGTTACCACACTTCTCACTGTTTGCTTCGTTATATCGTATTCATAGATATTCTCCTATCAACATGGGCACATATTTTGAAATGGACAGTATCTTTTACTTCAAGTATGAAACAAGCTGTTTAGAGGATAATTTGTGTAGTGTTTTTGTATGATGGGACAGCGCTGTTTTCTCGATCTTACTGTCGGACATCAGTTGAAAATATCATGTTTTGTGTTCTGTTGTCTTACGGCATGATAAATTATGTTGGTGTGCTCACGGACTACCTTGTAAAATGTGATGTAGCACTGGCAAATGAAGCAATTCTAAAGTTTGCATATGTTTATAATATTTGCGTACATATAGAAAAGCTCATTTCATAGAGCTTATGCGACAACTTACTCTCACAAGTACGAAGGAAATCTTCCCGGGCAAACATCGTGACGTCTTCTTGAGATCTGTTGTCGAGCCAAGAGGGGATAAATGCACTGTGTACATCGATTTTAGCTGCCGATAGTTTATAGGCCCAACAGTATCAACGAAGAGGGATTCAGTGGCTTCGGATGATCCAGTTATGTACTTCAGCATTTCAAGATCGTGTAGTCCTTTTCGAAAGTCCTGAATTTCTGCGTGAATCCTGTTAATGGCAGTCATTATATACACTGTCAATATTTCACTTTCTGAAGTTGCTGATGCACCGATAAGACACAGCTACGAGCTACATGTTAATCACGAGAGTAAACAGTATCAAAATGTAAATAAACATCTCCTCCTGAAAACTCACCTGTAGAACATGTGTGATTTGAACAGCTGACGGACCAAGTCCTCCTTGTCATCCAACCCAATATTACAAATGGGTTTCATTATTCCAGAATCTAACATCCAGTTGGTGGTTTTCTCGTCTTGACAGGTTATCCTAAACTCATCTGTGGTATCACAGTTCAGGATCCGTTTGCCAGAAGACACCAACGTGAACATATTACAAATCAGCATACATAATATTTCTGATAGTTACAGTCAATGTAATAACGTATTTATCATCGGGGTGATAATAAGGTCCTTCAATGCTTAATTTCAGCACTAGTCGTATGCACAATTGTGAAAGTAGAAATCAGGGACATTGCTGTAAATTGGTATGGCGTGTTTTGTAAATGTATATATCTTATTTATACATGGACGTATTGAAATGTATTAACACATGTTCAAATCGAGTTGTAACAATTACATGGCGCCAGTAGACTTAACTATTTTTATCCAGGGCACGTTTACTCAAATCCACAAGTATTTTGCACTGGTCAAATGCTCTATACATGAGAGTTGCCAAATCTTCACTGTCAAGAGGGTTTAATGTGTTTGTAAACAAGGTGCCAAACGTATCAAACACACACACACACACACACACACACACACACACACACACACACACACACACACACACACACACACACACACATATGCAATAAATCGCAAAGGACGTTGAAGAACAACGTGTGGTTTTTTTCACGATAAATCACGGTTCTTTATCATTACATCATTTCGGGGGATTCGAACATGCAACTGGATGACGTAGTAAATTCTAGTGTGTTGTTCCCAACAGATCTAACCTGGCTACTCGGACGAGCCCAATGGCCGAATGCTCGCATTCAAACGTGGCAGTAACATGACATGTATTGGGAGAAAAGGCGCACATAATTGAGAATAAGTGAGCGAATATCCCTGAAATACCAAACGTGACTCCCCTGTGCATAGAATAGACTTGTCCGCCATTGTCAGGGTCGGATTGTATTCAGGGAGACATCATTATGTAAACACAGGTAAATATTGCTTGTACATATTAGTAGTATTATTAGATGAACTTGTTGATGTTCACAAAATATTGATATCTCATATATAAGAAATATACGACTCGAGGTCGTTGTTTGAAACACTACAGGGAGAATACACCACTCAGGTCTGCGTCCCTCATATAATTTATTCTTCCTGTAGTGTTTATTGTACCATAAACAATTCTACACGTCGTTTATTTCTTAAATACACATACGACTAGTGGCCCTTAGCAATGATTGCGAAAGCCGAGAACTATTTTGATTTCATTTTCAGAACCAACATTCATCCCACATTTCCGCTTCTTTCCCACAGAGGTTTTAGAGCTCAAAACACAAGACAGATATGTGGTTCAATAAGACAAAAAAACAAAAAAAATCGGGGAAGTTGTCCTGTTATCAAAGTACGATCTATCATTTTAATGAATTAATAAATTCTATCATTATTTCATCCTCTGATGAACACATTACATGTTTGCTTGCCTTGTGCAGCATGTCACGGACATGTATATCTGGTACATCCTCCAGACGGATGTCTCCAACCTCTCGCCCAACCAGGAAACCATAGGTTGATCCGCTTAAAAACGGAAAACCTGGTCCGCCATTGAGTATGCTCCAAGCGACCATCTTTCCGGCTTCCCTGTAGCGACCAGCTTCTAGGGCTCCAACGTCGTGTCGGAATGACCCACCTTCACCCTCCAACAACTGCACCTTTAAATCCTTCATCAGTTCGCTGGAATATTGTAAAAAATAAGCACATCTGAGTATACGAATCACACGCCAGACTGTGATAAAGACCACGGCCTTTATTTTCGAAGCTCTCTTAGCGCTAAGATAGTCGTAAGTACCATACATTAACATTAACTTACGACTATCTTAGCGCTAAGAGTGCTTCGAAAATGTAGGCCCATATGGAGAAACTGACAGCTCATATTTGAATAATTAAGGAACATTTACTCATGTACATACGCTTTAAATACAACTGTTATGGGATACCGTTCGTGTTTGCATGTTGCAATGCCTAATTGTTACATACAATACCCATTCACATGTCTATGCCCATCACTAATGTATGTGAGTAATAATATACACTCGTACCCATTCCTCTGCCAAACACTTACGTAAAAAATTCCCGCCTTGGTCCGCCATCATCTGCACCATCTTCTAAGCCGACGTCTTCATTTGAAAACTCAATATATACAGGGCGCCTGAAGTCAAAGGCTGACTTATTCACTGCCCTCCTCGCTGTCTGTAGCACCTTGTTGCGTTGGATGAGAAAGGGCTGGGTGCCTTCTATCACCATCTCGCTCCTCGAAACTTCTATTATCTCACTTTGAGTAAGACGTAATGGAAAGTGGCAAATAAAGCAAACATAAAGCTTGGAATATATTCCTTTACACCCAAAATGGTGTAATGACAATAAACACATATAGTAAATATTATGATGATCCAGAGACAAGATTAATTCATGTTGGCAACAATTCACATGAAACTGACTCTTATATATACCAATCAACGCTCAGATAGTATGTAGATATATTAATTCCTTGAAGTACATTTAATAGTGGTGGCCACTTTTTTTGGGGCAAACATGTAATGGCACATATGAGCGCAATGTAGAAGTCCACGAGAGTACGTATAAATAAGTAGTTTACAAACAAGAACACTTACGTCGAGTGCGGACTTTCGGTCCATATTATGTTTTATCATAATATCTGGTGCTTGTAGATGTATATTGAAATTCTTAATACACGTATTAAATGTATGATTACACACTGAATAATTTACCTGTGTACGGTGGAGGTAAGTTGGGGATCTGGCCAAATTTACAACAACAACAAATTTAACTATTTTAATGTAAAGCTTGTTAACTTCGCTGGGTTTTATTCATGCAAAAAGAACTGAACGTTTTCCCATGACAAAACCTGTACACGGTTTAGAATAAACTCTTGAAACGTAAACATTCACAACAAACATGTCTGAGTGCTTGTCAACATTTTACTAAAGCTACATTTCATGTTTGTTGCCACCCTATGTATTACAGAGCCGCAAGAGACCAATATGCAAACATAACACTCTGATACCATATAAGTAAATGGTGTTCTTGATTTAATGGTGGACACATCATGATGGGAAATTGTCGGATGTTCATTGCTGTATATGTCAGGAGCATGGCGGTAACATCAGGCCGTTGCCTCATCTTAGAAGTGTTTTACAAATTTTACACTTAACTGTCACCATATCAGTAGCATCCATACAAAAAGGTTACGCACCATATCCAGCATGTCCTCCATGTCCGGTCTATGGAAGATAATAGTTGGTGTGCCAGAATATGATGGCATGTCACTGTCCATGTACTGAAGTAGAAAGAGTATATGTGTGCAGTTCGAGTAATTAATGGCTTTGTACTAGACTACATCAGACTACACTTTACATTAAATATTTTGTATCATTCTTATGCTGTTAAAGTCCACACGAACAGTAACGTCTATTTGAGGGGGAAAATATACATGATACTCGGTGTTCGCAAAACAGTGAGTCTATCCAGTCCCAATGGTGATTCCTATCACAAACACATGCAAAGTCAAGTCAATTCTTCCCCTGAAGGAACACGATAATAAATGGTGCATGTTGCAATAAGGAATTGCATCGAAAACCGGTTTGGCCATTGGTGCGTCACATTTTGAAAAGTCTTGCACATATATGCAAGAATATGTTTTAAAGCTTTACTAAGACCTCTAAAGAAATGTAGACAACAGGGCTGAAGCCTCTGGCCTTTTGCTTGACATGAAGGTTGACTTTCTGAAAAATGATGCCATTCCTCTGGTCATACAGTCTTCTTATTAGCTTGCGTTTACACTAAATCTTTACGCATTATTCTGAGTAGGACACAAACGAGTTTTTTTCACTGGCCTCTTTAAATGCTAGCTTAGGTGGGTAAAACAATGGACTGGAATTGACTATCGTACAATTCTTGATAAACAATTTTTATCATCGATATTCGAAAAGCTTAAGTTAACCTCCTTGACCAGTTTCCCATGTGTTGAAATGAGCAATATCCGCACACAAATTCAGATTCATGTGCAAAGAGAAACAGATGGGCAAGGTGAAAATCACAATAACGCAAATGGAAAGCTATTTCCGTACTCCGATACAATACGTGTACCATTTAGGCTCTATACACAGTGCTCAGCCACGTAATCAGCTCTTTGTGTATCTGTTAAGCTCAAAGCATCACTAAGATGCAGGAAGTGGCAAAACAAAATGCAATACCCACAAGAAGTCGACTCGGAGATACTCAGAGGACTTCTGTTTGCATCAGCTGGGATGAGGTCATTTGGCTCATCTTGGACAGTACGATCCGTGTCTGCACCTTCCTCTACTGTTGCCTGCACCAAATACAAATGTATTCAATATTGCTTTCAGTGTGGGGGTTTTGTAACACAACATTTGTGTGTGTTTCACAGAGTATATAAATACATTAGAAACCTTCCATCGTCAATGTAGCAAGATGAACTAATGCAGCACGTCACAGACAGTGCATGCATACATGCATATCTGTAGCAGTCACTGTGGTGATATTTGATGTTAACGAAACGACTGAAAATAACCTATTCATCCCCATTTCATTTTATATAATTGTTTAATGTGAACCTTACACGATGCGACTTTACCAGTGAACCAGACGGTGGCCGCAAACGCGTAAGAGCGACATATTTTGGAGAGTGTGACTGCTACAACTGATGCCAAATAAAACGACTATCGACTCAATTCGTGTCTAGACTCACAGTAACAGTCTAAAGCAATCTAAGAATTTATCCCAGTATGTATACTATTCCAAAAAGGAAACGCATCACCGAGAAAGCTGTTATAAAAAATGTTGTATTTTCAAACATGTATAACTCGTCCACAAATAGACTTTAGTACATGATTTTTACATCAGTTTAGATAACGGAGACGTTGAGCGCGATGGTGGCCACGTAGCATGGTCCCGACGTCGGGACCTAGCTCTCAGTCCAATCTGGATATCCTCCGGAGTCCAGGCACCCTGACTGCTGTGCTTTCACCCGTGGTAGTACGATTACGCAAATGTAGTACCCTGATGTATGGATCTTGGGTTGCAGTGGTGACTCGAGGTCTGCCTGTACGGGGACGATCATTTGTTATACTTGTCTGGTTGTAACGAGCTGGAAGCAGTGATATCGTGCTCAGACTAACATTCAGACGCCTGGCTACAGAAAATTGGTAATCTCCAGCGTGCATTCTATCAATGGCGATGTTCCATGTCCCAATGTCAAGACGTGGTGTAGTCATTTGACCTTGAAACTCCTTCAAAACGGATACCGATTTCCCAAATTAATCTGGATTTTTTATAGCCAGACAGTGCATGCTCTTTGCCGCACAATTTCAAATGGAAGGTGATTTCTGTTGCTTTGGGGCGATTCCTTTTTAATTCTTGTAAGAAATCTCATTGAAATCAACATTTTTAGGTAAAGTCATTTTCCACTTGTGCAATAGTGTAAAATCATGTTATCAACACTTTCGGTACATATTTTGACGATTGTTTTGAACACAATTGGTACTTATTAGATTTGTTAAAATACAAAGCGCCTGTGCGTTTCTTTTTAGAGATAGTATATTTTACACAACTTTACAATCATCTTTCAACGATCGGCCAACTGATCATCATTGTCTAACTCTTGTTTTTGCCAGTTGTTTATTTGCAACTTCGGAAATGTCTTCGGAATTCTGTTGACGTCCTGAACTTAACGTCAATGCATACCGACCAGCTGTCACTGTGGCTGACTTACCGTGGTAGTTCTGGAGACACTTGTATAGTCTAATGATATCATTTGTATACATTTGTTGTCTATACGTACTTCCAGATATCAAATAGTGATACAGCAGACACTTTGTGTGAATTTATTCGCTTTAAAACTTTCACACAACTGGGGACAAACGCCGTGGCAAGCTCAAACTTTCATACAGTTTGGCTCTCACTGTATGAAGGTTCGGTATACAATGAACACAAAATAAAAGTCAATAGTTAATAAAAGCAAGTATACCCCTGACTCTGACGAGGATTGTGTGCTAACCGCTGTTCTGGACCTGGTCCTAGGCCTCCTTGTTGTGGCTGCATCTGAACACTAACAGAAATGAATTGTAACATGAACTTAATAACTATACTAGCCACATAAGGAAACTGTGCATTGTCAAAATATTATCCCAGTTGATAAGTACGATAACAATGTCAAAGGTACATATAAACTTTTGGAGGGATCATGAGACCATAACAAGTCGGGAGAATTTCAATTGAAAAGTCAATCACAATGACGGGACACAAGCGGGACAGGGGTCAAACGACAATGTCACAAGCTCAATTACGGGTATGTCCACCATCGGCTTTGAGAACAGCAGTGCATCGACGACGCATAGAGCCTATCAAACGTGCAAGGAAGGCTTGTGGGATGTCACGCCAGATTCTCTCAAGTTCTGTTGCAAGGTCAAGGACGTTATCTGGCGGATGAGGAAGACGGCGTAGACGTCCATCCATCTCGTCCCAAACATTCTCTATCGGAGAGAGATCCGGTGAATTGGCAGGCCAAGGCAGTAAGTCAACGTTGTGGTGTTGCAAGAAATCCATAGCAACCCTTGCCGTATGAAGGCGGGCATTGTCCTGTTGGAATGTTAACACAGGGCCATGACGTTGCAGAAAAGGAATTGCCACAGGTCGATGAATCTTATCCCTGTAGCCCACACCAGTTAAGTTGCCCTGAACAATCACCAAAGGAGTTCTTTGGCGTGATGTTATTCCACCCCAAATCATCACGGAACCACCACCAAAGTGATTCCTCTCCCAATACACAGGCCTGTGCATAACGTTCACCCACGCGTCTATAGGCACGTTGACGTCCATCACTATGGGAAATGTTAACCCTGCACTCATCTGTAAAAATAACATTTCTCCACCAAAACAAGGGTCTGCGGACATGATTTCGGCACCACATTCGGCGAGCTTGTCGATGACGTTGTGTCAGGATAGGCCGTATGGCGGGACGTCGTGGTCTGATCCTGTGATGACGTAAACGTTGTCGAACTGTGTTGGGGTTGATACGGCGAAGTCCTGGGATGGTTCGGGCAGTCATCACTGCAGTCTGAAACCTGTGGCGAAGATGGGTCACCCTTATCCATCTGTCCTGTCTTGGCGTTATTACACGTGGACGTCCAGAACGTGGCCGATCGATGACGTCATTTGTGTTCTGGTAGCGTCTCACCAGTGCAGAAATGGTGTTCCGGTGGCAGTGGA